TTATCGCTAGGGGGTGGTAGAGCATCGCTCTTGGCTCTTCACTGGCTGAGCTCTGGGAAATGAATGCATCCAAGCTTAGTTAAATCTTTACCAACTTCCTTTTCCATAGAGAAGTTAGTGACCCTTCTGTCACTTGGCAAAGCAAGCCAGGCAGCAGGACTCTGAAAGTGTGTTTGTGCGAGTTAATGACTTATTGATTGTGTTTGCTGGTGTTTGCACTTAATCCTGGGTTTGATTTCACTGAACTGTCAAGTAGTTCCAAAAACATTCCTCGTTGGTAGATCTTAAAGAGAAACATTAAACCCTGTTGTTTATTCTAATCTACCATGAACCCAGAGGTTGTGTGGATTCTACCAAGAGCCCCAGACCAGGCATTGTTTTGAGCAGATTGGAAAACAGCCTGAGCCAGTTGACTCTCAGGTGAAGCGATCCCAGTCCACCACCCCAGGCCGAGCCCCAAGTGGCAGTCAGTCACAGGGAGCCAGCTGAGAGGGCAGCCACCAGAATCTCGACTCCAGAAGAGACTCAAGGGTGAGTCAGAACCCAAAAGTCCATGTGCAAAGAAAGCCAGAGCCCAGCCATCCACAAAAGGCTGGCTGAGTTTCCTGAAAGTTCCAGATCCCTGGTACTTCCTGCTTATTCCTCATGCAATCTAATTCACAGCCCAACTGCACAACACAAGGGTGGGGAGAGAGCAGAATGCAGAGCTCAGCTCACCTGGATGGAGACATCTCCAGGGAAATGTCACTTGCCTTGGATTTATTTGTTTTGCTTGATCATAGTATGTTCTAGAAGTCACTTGGGCTAACTTCAGGAGGATACAGGAGGAGAGGTCAGCACTGAGTTCCACGAAGGGACAGATCTATCTAGAGTCTCTGTGTTTTGGGGGTCCCCAGAAGGACAAGGAAGAGATAGATGGGCAAGTGTTCTACAGGTGCCTTCCGGATGCAGAGCTGTGGAGCTGGGAACCCAGGGAAGCCAGGAGGCTGGCTCACCACCCACTGAAACTGCGCAGGCTCTGTCCTTCCATCGACGGTGTGACGAAGGGTCCTCCTTGAACTGGGCCACCGGGGTGAGGATGGTGAAGTCTAAGCCCAGTTCTATCTGCCGGGCCAAGAGCCAAGCCTGAGCTTCCCAGAGCGAGGCTTCCTTCCAGAGTCTCTGGAGATCTTCGAGGGAGCTCTCACAGCCATGTGGTATATAGCAAGGAACCATGGTAATGGTGAACTGATTCACCTGGGGGTTTGTTGTTGTGGTTGGTGGTGGTGGTGGTGATGGTCTACTTGCCCACCTGCCATGTTAGAATTCTATACCCATCCAGGTCTTAAACAGCTGGGGAAGTGGAGACAAGGGCCTTTCTGCCAGTCAGGAACATGGTGACTTTGGGTGAGCTTCCATTTTCTTCAAGAGATGAAACCATGTTTGCATCTCAAGTATGTGAAATGACTCAAACTAATAACATACCAAAAAATACTCCGAGAGCAAAGCAGATGTCACTGGGCCCTTTTCCAGAAGCCAAATGAGGCCTCACAGAGCCTTACAGGCAGATAATAAATGCAAGAGCTCAGAACCCCTGGTCCTTCCCTCCAGTGCTCTCGTCTCACAGATTTGGGAGCAATTGTCCTACTGTAATAATTAATTCATATTGCCACACAGATGAGCTAGGGGAGATTACGGCCAATTCTATCATAAAAATTTTCATTACAAATAAATTTTTCAAACAAATTCCCAGTTTGGCTAGCTGAGCCTAGAAGGAAATCCTTTGAAACAAAAGCATCTCTACAATATCTCCACAGTCAGGGGCTTTGCTTAGGTGATTTCTAAGGTCTCTTAGAACTGCAGAATCCCTATACTCTCAGCAATAACAACAAAAAAATACAATGAGTTTGTCACAGATTTAAATAACCTTATAACAGGGTGGAGGATGTAGTTCAGTGGTAGAGTGCTTGCCCAGGATTGCACACAGTACTGGGTTTGAAGCCCAACACTGCCACAATAAATGAGTAAATAAATAGTCTCACAGCACCCCTACCACATCCTGGTATGTTGGTTGTAAAGATGAGAGAAACAAGGGTTAGAAAGCCAGTGTCTCTTGGAGAGAATTACTCAGCTGGTAAGTAAATCAAATCAGAAATAAATCAAATGGTGAATAAAAAATAAATCAAACAGACAACCAGGATCACGAAGATCCAGCTACAACATCCCTCTCACTGACTCCACCTGCCATGCCCACAAAACACTGAACCTAAGTGCACCCAGGCTGGGTCTCAGTCTGTGATTCCATTCAACAGGCTTTTGACAGGAACCATCCCCCATTCCTCCACGCACCAGTGACATTTTGTCCTAACCCAGTCACTCAAGGATGCGAAACTTATTTAATGTTGAACTGGAAATGCAGGCAATTGGACATTTTGTTTAACAAGGAGGAACTTAGACAGCCCAAAGCACAAAGAGCTAAAATGGAGCTGCCATAGAATGAGAGAGTTGAGGCATCTGGAAGATTCTAGAAGGTAGCTCATTAGAGATTGCAAAGCAATGGCCTGGAGGCCATATGGGGCTCACAGCTGTGTTTGTGGTTAGCACAGCACATTTTTAATTGAAGAGGTTGCCAAAAATGTTAGTGTTTCCTTTTTTAAAAAATCTGCATGTCCAGCCTGGGGTGCACACTTCCTCTTAACAATGCCTGGGCTGAGACGAATTCCTTGGCTTCATCACCCACTCCCCACAAGTGCTGACCCTTGCTGCTGAATTGTAATGAGGGGAGAAAATAGCTCTACAAGGTGTGCTAGGTAAAATCAGAAAGGAAAATAGACCATAAACATCCCATAATTCAAAATGTTCCACATGAGCAGGCCAAATGCTATGCTGTTAAGAACTGACTTTGGCCCAGCTGGTGGCTCACGCCTGTGATCCTACCTACTCAGGCAGCTGAGATCTGAGGATCACAGTTCAAAGCCAGCCTGGGCAAGAAAGTCTATGAGACCCTATCGTCAATAAACCAGAAGTGGCACTGTGGCTCAAGTGGTAGAGCGCAAGTCTTGGGCCAAAAGAGCTCAGGGACAGTGCACAGAGAGAAGGTATAGCTCAGTGATAGAGCATGTAAGATGCTTTGGGTTTTAGCCCCAGAGTGAATGTACACACATGTGCGTGCACACACATGCGCACACACATACACAATCTATGCCTGACTCAGTCTAGAGAAGGGCTCAAGCAAAAGATTATTTTAATATCGTGTTTATACAAGTGGTCAGAGCACTGAAAGCTAGCTCAAGAATGCTCCCCACCTCTGTTTTACCGGCTTATGTTGCCCTGCTGCCTGACCACCTGACCCACTAAGTCATCTTGATATGGTGGAGAAAAGACTTAGTAAACACGAAGGAAGACTGGAGGAATTTACACAGCCTAAAGCACAGAAAACTGAAAAGATGAAAATATGAACGAGAAGAGACACACAGGATAAAAGTTCCTGATATAGATTCTAGAAAAAAATCATAAAAGGAATACTAGATCATAATAAGAACAAATGACAACTACATGCAATGTAGATGAGTTTCATTAAAATAATATTGAGTAAAAGAGAAACAAAAGCACAAATGATTCCCTTTTGTACAGCTTAGAAACTTTTCTTAGGTAAGAAAAAAGACGAAGGTTCTGGAGGCTAGTGCTTTCCCTAAGAGGGAAGAGATGCATAGGTTTTTCAGTGCTAGAATTACCTGCTTCTGGGCATGCGTACTAGTTACATTGTTTTTGTTTATGAATATTCATCAAACTGAACAGTCATGATTTGCATGCTTTTTAAATCATATTTTTGGGGGGTCCGGTGGTGGGGCCTGAACTCTGGGCCTGGATGCTGTCCCTCAGCTCTTCAACTCAAGGCTAGCACTCTACCACTTGAGCCACAGTGCCACTTCCAGCTTTTTTCTTTTTGCTTATGTGGTGCTGAGGAATCGAACCCAGG